TTGAGGAGTGCCTTTTTTTTTTTTTTTTTTCTTCTTTTTTTTTTGGTCTTTCAACACAAAAGCTGAGTTCTTCTGTGACTGATTTCAAAAAGCTGGAACTTGAAGAAAACATTAAATATCATAAGACAGAGCACAAGAGCTAGTGATGCTGTGCACATCATTGTATATGATTGTAGTGGATTGATGCCATTTGTGCCAGTGTAATTTGGCAAGTGTAGGGGAAAAAAAAACAAAAGGGATAGTCCTGGCTACAGGATCAAAGGGTTTGATGAAATGGCATTGCATTTGCTTGACTTTATGTTTTAATAAAGTTGTATATACAGATAACGTAGAAAGAACAGTGTAATAAAGAGTTGTGGTAATTGATCCTTCTGCTCTTTTATTTCTCAATTAAAGCTGGCCTTTGCCGGAGTTTGACCCAAGTCAGATTCGACTGATTGTGTATCAGGACTGCGAAAGAAGAGGACGGAATGTCTTATTTGACTCCAGCGCTAAAAGAAAAATAGAGGATGTTTCAGTGTCGGTGAGTATTTTACTAATTTACATGGTTATAGTCTATATTTTTTAAAATGGCAAGACTGATAAATCACAAATGTTCTGTTTTATACACATTAACATTTAAACGTCAGTTATATGCAGGGCTATATTTAAATGCCTGTTAAGTTGCAAATTATTCAGGCTTCAGTGATTTCACTCTTAACAGCTTTAAATACTATAGTGATCTCTTTATTCCTGGGCTTGTCTACTTTCTGCTCTTTCAGAGAGAAAGAGCAGCAGGCAGTCCTGGGGCTGCAGCAGGCAATGCTGGAGGGCTGAGGCAGGGCATAAACTGCTATTTATGGATGTGCTTTTATGCCACGGTGGGGTCTGCATTCTTAATCGGAAGGTCCTCCCCGTCCTGTGTCCTCGTGTCCTGTTTGGTTAGCTTTTGCCAGTCGTTTCTATGCTTTGCTGACAGTTTTTTCACACGAAGTTACTTGAAAACTTTTCCTCTGTTTTTCCTTTTGGCATGGTCTGCATGGTAATCTATTAATTGAAACTGTAATGGATGCAGTCAGATGAGGATACTTTCTTCTAAGGGCTCTGGCCAGAAGATTAATTTCTAGCCACAGTGCTATTGTAAGTGGTTGTGTGAGGTTGAACAACTTCTTTCGCTGCTTTGAACTTCCTTTCCACCATCTCTGAAAATATTTGCAAACCATTTTAAGCTCTGCAAGCAGAAAGCACTGTGTAAACTGAAATTTATTATCCCAGTTGCTTTTACCTGTAGGACTTACTAAGTTCTGTAAGCAGGAGTACACAAAATAACATGTTACCCCCAAGCCCTGGTTTTCTTGTTGGGTATTGGAGTACAGCCAGAGGATTCTTCATCCAGCTTTGTAAACTCTTCTGGCCTGTTGCTGAATGCTGCCAGACTGATGCTTCTCATCCTGGTCCCGAGTGCTTCCTATGGCCGCGTATCCTAACCTCTGGGAGCCAGTTTGTGTCTCGTCAGGCACTAACTTCCAGGCTTCTCCACCTCTTACTCTAGCGCTTTTATAGCCATGAATCAAGATCACAATTTCCTAGTTCTTCTCAAGAATTTGTGAAGTAAAGCAAGTTCCACAAATGTTGAACAAAATGCATCTTTCTTTTTAATTTTAACTTGTTAGAATGGCTTTAGAATTTATATGTTCCTGTTCTAGGTGTTCTTGCCAAGAAAACAGATTTTTTAAAGACCAGAGATCTTTAGAAGTGGTTTATTGGTACAAATTGCTGGCTATGCTTATTACTATTACTTCATTAATTATAAAGCATTACTTCATCAATAAAAAAGATGTTGTACAGTATAAATTCTCTTGCCATATTTCAATTGATTTCTTGAAAGCCTAAAACCTCTTTAAGATAGATCTGTACTTGCACAGTGAATTTGCAAACTTCACTGTTTTGGTTTATTTCAGAAAGATCGTTGACTGTGGCAGCTCAACAGCAACAAAATAAATGGTTGATAATGAAGCTAACACAGTTCCATATTAATCTCTCCTTTATTTTTCTTTGCTAAGGGGGAAGGGGGAGGGAAATAGCTGTATTCACCATCTCTATGAAATGAGCATGTGAGACTGGTGGAAGAAGACTGTTCTCAGGTGTTCGAAATGCCCAGTGCTCATCTCTAGTAACTTGATTTCTTCTTTTTTGTGGTATTAGGAGACTTTGAAAGAGAATATATTGAAACATTTGCTTGCTGTGATATCTGCCTTCTGCAGCACTCAGATAATGTCACGTCAGGCAAAACTTTCCTCATAAAACAAAACTTTGCAATAGCAGAAGCATTATGCAGGTAAAAACGTGCAGAAGAGTCCTCGGCTCAGCTTGCTGCGAGCTTAGTACAGGCTTGTACAGTTAGCAGTAAGTACTGGCCATTTTCAAGGAATTGCGTTGTTTATTTTTCTCACTCTTTATCATGATTTTCATTAACAAAGACACACCCTGCCTATACAAAGCCAGATCTTGGCTCTAAGCACATTCCAAGGCACTCTTGCCCTTTTGCAGCAAGACATGTGTGTGGGCCGGGCACTCTCCCTTCTGAAAGGGAATCTGTTCAGCACCCCACAAAACCCAAAGGTTTCTGCATCTTTTCCCCCCCCCCCCCCCCCCCCCCCCCCCCCTTTCCTAACGTGATTTATACCTCTGGATTCACAAATAACACTAGGGGGGAGATTTGCAAGAGTGCCTAGCAGTGGCCAGACTGTTCTGGTTGAAGTCTAATCAGTCTAATGTGGAGAACCGAGAGGGTTTCAGTTTGCTTTACGTTGCTGTGATCTTCAGTTCCCATTCTCTGTTGCTTATGAAACGTGAAAGCAATTATACTTTAAGAGTTGTATGCCTGCAGCAAGGTGAGATATACTTTGCTCTGTTTTATACATCTAATCTCAACATATGTCAAGAGTTGTGTGCGGTGGACCAAGGTTGAACATGGCTCAGTCGTTTGAATTCTATAAGGGAAGGTATGGTTATAAAATTTAAGGAGCATCAGAGCAAACTTTTCCAGACACAGATGTTGCAAGAAATAAAACAGTAGGCTCTGACTTTTTGATGAGTGAAAACTGCAGAGTTTGTGCTCACACCAAGCTGGGCTTTAATTACTAAAGCATTACTAGGTTCATATTATCCATGAGGGAAATGTGACTATAACACATAAGGATTTTGTGTTTTCATTGGATATTAAATCAGCCTCTTCATGTCTTCAATAAAGCTAAACACCAGGTGCACAAGAATTTTGGGAGGGTATTGCACAGAGACAGACAGAAGGCAGCAGAGAGTTTGCAGTATGGCCATTAAAATATTTTAATTGTGCAGGAGAAGTGATGTTTTCCTCGGGTCTCGCTGGAGTTAAACTTGGCGAGTAAAGCCGAGAAGCTGTCTGGTGATTCGGAGGGCTGGCGGCCGCTGCACCGGGAATGTTGGCCGAAGGCTGTGCCAGGCGTTTCCACTGAGGCCAGGCAGAGATCCGCCTTAGGCAGCTGTGGGCGCTTGGCATGGCGGGGAGGCAGAGAGATCCCCTTTGTGAGTCCTATACCTTTTTTGGTGCTAAGCAGGAGAGGTTCTTCCCCAGCTTTCCAGGGGATGGGCTATTGATCAGCCAGGCTCTGTAAGCAGAGCCGAAAGACTGCTGCCTGACCAGCATCAGAAAATTGGGTAACTCCCCTGTCTGAGTTCTGCCAGGGTATCCCAGAAGAGAGTGGCTGCCCTTTCCAGCCCTATGACACAAGGTCATGAGCAAATGTATCAGAACAGGCATTTGCATATTAAGTATGCCAGGGCAGCCTGTGATATGGGAAGTAGACATTATTGACGCCTTTACTAAACAGCCTCAGTCCACACCCAAACATCCACATCTCTTGGATTTTTGGGTATCGAAGTACTTTTACAGGCAAGCTTGTGGGTTTGATCCGCTGTTTCCTCTAGAGATCTACTTCAGAGTTTGTTCCTCATACTAAGAAGTGTCACTTCTAATGAGACTGTATGGCTTGATTTGCAGGTGATAGTGTTATGACCTACGACTGATTTCTACTAGTAGGCTCGTTTCTGTGCTTGTCTGCTCCTTTTCCTCTAACGCCTCCCCGCCTGCTCTCCGCTCATGCATACCACCAGCCCCACTCACCTCCCCGTGGGGTGCCTCGGGGCTGTGCGAGGTCCCGCACACATCCACCCTGTTGGGTCGTACGGAGTTTCCAAGCCAGGATCCATGTGTGAACACACGTATCCAAGAGCTGTGATAACGGGCCTGGTTTGAATTTCAAATCAAGCATGACAAGCCGCTCCTTTTCCTTTTTAAGGTGCAGAGGCCAGGTGGCCCTGCCAGTGCTGAGCTTTCAGCCTTGGCTCTGCCTTTCCTGACCCTCTGTGTGCTTGGCTTCTCAACCTTGACACTGCATTCATGCTAACCTTAGCGAAGGCTGTGTTGGATTTTACTGCGCTGCCGCTGTTGCGCGGCTCATGAGTTATGTCGCCATAAACGTCGGTGTGCAAGGGCCAGCTGAAGTATGAGAAGTTTTCCTCCAAGGGCTGGCAATTGACTGGGATAAGGATGACACAGAAATAGTGCCACGAGGGAGAAGTGGGGAGTAAAGCAAAGAAGCTGGGAAGGGGACCCTTGTGTCAGGGCTTTCCTCGGAGCAGCTGAGTGAGTTCAGGGACAAGGTTTAGCTGTCTTGTTTAACTGCTCCTTTTCCTTTTTGTGTTGTCCACTGGTGACTTACGACAAGATGGCAGTTACCATTCGGGATTTGACTGAAGAGAGGTGCTGATGGACATGTAAGAAGCTAAAATATTTCCGAAGTCTAAAGATCAGCCTAGAGGATGGCGTGGAGTCCAGGGAGGAAGAAGGGGTGTCAAGGGACCATGAGGAAGAGGAGGGGGGAAAGAAAGCAAGAGCCAAGCTGTGCACTGGGCTGAGCAGGGATCCAGAGTTTGGGCGGTTTGGCTGGGAAGGGAGAAAGACAAGGAATCAGACAAGGGCAGTGGCTTGTTCCCAGGGCCCAGAGTCAGAAGAGGATTTTCAGAAGCAAGGCTTGTTTTGGTGTTTTGAAGAAATGAAAGAGAAAGAGTGGCCCGGGGTGCAGAATTTGAGATCTTGAGGTGTAACAGTGGACTTGGACTTGCGGAGCGAAAAGTTCACTTTTGCCATGTAACCTAGTTGTCTTTATCTTCGGGATAATTTAACTGAAAAGTCATATGATATTCGATCTCCTACTGCGGCAATTTCTTTCACTCCGAATGTCATATTTATCCCAAAGCAGAAAAAATGGCATGCTGTTTTAAACAAGCCAGGATTAGCCACGTGTTCTAATATACTTCAGCACTGGATAAATGTTGAGCAGCAAATTGCTTTGAGGGATTAGTAATTGGATAGTGAGCCTTTTGCTTGTAGGTGAGTTGTGTGAAATGGAGACTCTGGTGTGTATCTGGCTCTCGGTGGACAGGTTCCCAGTGAGCCAGGCTGAGCAGACAGATAAAGCAGTAAGCACAGAGACCAAGTCCCACCTTCTTAGCTCTGCTTATTCTCTCTAAGCAGAGATGGAAGAATACTAGTGGAGCATAGGGTTGGCTTTACTTCTTTCACTGACCTCTGAGTAATAGAGGAACTTGACAACTCTGCAAATAAAGGGAGAATGTAGCACTTGACAGCTGCATTTTAAGAAAGCTACCTGGATTTTTACAGCAGCACTTGAAGGGAAGGAATGAGCGCCTATTCACATTACTCTCATGTCCTAGGTGGATGCATACATTTAATTACACATTCAGACCAACGCATATTAATAAAGCAAAAGAGTTAATTTCTCTATTTTGGAATAATTTTTCAGCTTTGCTGAAAAACCTGTTCTAGAAATGAGGTACAGAGCTCTTGAAGAGTGGCAACTTTACTTGGAAATAAAGATTTCTCTATCACTACCACCACAGTGGTATTTGAGCACCTGCTGTTGCAGAGAGGTAGAAAAGAGTAAGCCGTATGATGACATTCCTTTTTCCTTCTGTCACTCACAACCCTAAGACACATGCACACAGTCTGGATTTAGTTCAACACGCCAGGCTCCTTTCAACTTTCTTATTATCCCCAAACCAAAACTTGCCCAGCAGAAATTCCTCTTCCTGTGCACAGCCCTGGGCATGTTCTTTCCACTTACTGAGGAATTTATAGACCTTATGGCAAAGAGTTAAAGGTCTTTGCTGATAGAGGTGGAGAAAAGAGATTCCAGAAGCAGAACTGTAGAAGAAAACTACTTTGTACTCTGTTGTACTATAAAGACATTTTACTCTAAGTTATCTTCAGTACTACCTGATAGGTCTCTAAGACTTTCAGCAAATGATGACCTCTAATGTGAGAGCTGTGACTGCCAGGCAGTCTTTGGAGCTGGGCGGTATTTGCAGCGAGCTGGCAGAGAAAGAACAAAGAGTGTGACCACAGCGGGGAGAGCGGCGTGGCAGCCAGGAGCGGCAGCTGCCCGCGGCATCCTTCCAGCAGATGTTCTGCTCTCCAGCAAAAGTGAGCGTTTCGGAGGACTCCAGCAGCACTTTGCCTAGGGATCTGATTTGTTGCAACTATGTCTATTTGGAAAGAAAATCCACAACTTTGAAACTTTCCCTTGTACAGTTCTTAAATAATTAGGTTATGTTTTTATTTTTGGAAGCCTGGCTTGCATATCTTTGGAATATTGTATTGGAATGCAAGTAATCCCACTCATTGATGCATAATATCTTGAGATTTTTAGCATCTAAGATTTCATTGATGTTTGGATTCAGAAACTGCAGAGGAGAGGGGCATTGCAGGTACTTGATCTCATTGTCCAACAGGTTATTCTTAAGCACACACTAAGTTTGTAAAAGAGCAAACACCAAAATTTGTCAGTGATCTGCATTTTAGGAGGGATTTACTGTCCACAAGGTTCTGAAAAGTGGTATCTGAATGATCCTGACCTCTTTTACAGACTCCTTGCAGGAGTCTTGGTTCATTAAACTCCACTGCAAAGACCAAACAGCCATTTTCCTGGTTTGCTATTTAAATTAGGCAACTATTACTTCAAGATACCAGACTCCCCAATGGATCTGGGGAAAGCTGCTGTGCAGAAAAATGCAGTGATAATGAGAAGAAATTATTTAAAAGTAAGTAATTTGCAAACTTAGCCTATTTTTTTTAATGCACAGAAATTTTTTTCACCTGTAGAAATGCATTTACTGCCTTTACAGTCTCAAGGAAGCTTAGTTATAATTGTAATTTTTTAGAAGGAACTTTCAACATCTGATGGAAAATGCAAGCTGAAATGTGGTTTGCCTGCAAAAGCTTCTGTAACCCTGTGGATTTTATGTGGTTTTATCACATGATGCTTGCCTAGCCTAGGACATTGTTGTTTGTGTCAGAGATAAAATGCAATTCTAGTTCACGTTCCTGCTGGCTGAAGTCATATGATGATCATTCACATGTTCCAGCCATTGTGTACTGTGCTCAAGCCACAGATACTAGCCATTAGCAAATCTACATATTGCATGAATTCAACGTACTCACTACGATGTCGTAATGAGAGGATACTACTATGGGAGGCTGTATAATGGCAGTAAAGCACAGGACTAGGCAGCTAGTGCATGCTTCCTTCCCCTCTGCCACGGAATTACTGATTTGTCTGCACATTTTTCCTTAAGGCTTTCTGCGGCAGCAGCTCTCTAATGGGAGCAGCAGTGCGGACTGCCGCGTGGAGCTCGATAATTCCTGACATTTTCTGCTGTTTTGCTAAATCTCACCCACAGTTAGGGCCAAATAAAAGTCCCCTGTCCCTAAGTGTGGGTGAGATTTAGCCAGGAAAAAAAAAAAAAAAGTAACCTGCACAGCCTAGGAGAGAGGCATGGGATTCCCATCTTGCCCCTCATCAAAATCCCTCTGCAGCAGTAAGGGCAGTTTTTTTGTACAGTTGTTGCTGATTATTGAGCAGACTCATGAAGTTACCACCCTGTGCCTTGGGTATTTCACACTTTCCTTTATGTCTTTTCCTTTTTTTCATAGCTATTAAAGATTGAGACATACTGATGTTGTTGAACGAAGGGGGAGCTTGTGATGTGGACCTGTGAGTCCAGAGATGAAGCTGTGACATATAACAGCACTTCTGTATTTTCATCTGTCCCTTGAACCTTGCTTCCAGTAGGGTTTGCTTCCAGCTTGCTCTTACTGGTTTGGTGATTGTACAGGAAATGTTAATTAAGAAAGTCTTAGGGCAGAGTTAGTATGTAATTTTTAGCAGTGTAGACTATTTCTGTCTCCTAGTGCTGCCCACTAGCAAATGTAAATAATGCCACCCTTACGTGGGTGTGTTGAAGTGTAATGAGTATATGAAAAATACATTGAGATCCTTAGGTGAAGAGGATTGCCTGATGCTAGTGTAAAGGGCGTTAACTAACGTGGATGCTGATTCTGCTTGGGATGCTGAGATTCACAGGGGAAACTGCAAATGTTTTTAAATAGTGAAGGAAACAGTAGTGGAGCATCTCCCGTGCCAGTGATTGATAACAGTGCGTGTGTAGAGTGGATACAGATCCTACCCATCCTGTATGTCGGTTCCAGCTCCATCTGAGCCCTCCTAACTCCCTTTTTTGCTATGCTTTCTGTCTGAATCTCTGTCAGAAATCACCCCTTGGACCATTTCTCCATCATTTTGTGAAACTTTTCTGGCTTCTCTGTAACACTAACTGTGTTTTTCAGCTTTGTCCATTTCCAGCCCCGCAATTCCCTCGTACTGAAAATGAGAGGAACGTGTCACCTCTGTGCCACTCTTTAAAAAGACTAGGGGACTTAGACACAGCTAGGGAGAGATCTATAAAAATAGTATCTTTTCTCTCCACTTATCCTTGTAACATGAATCTCTCTCAAATTCTGTGTTGCTTTTGCTCGATTATTCCTAATCAATGTGTTTTCCTGTACATCATGAACTCCTCCTTGTTGTGATCTGGCCGTCATCGTCGCTCTGGAGGGCTGTGCCCATCACGCTGCTCTGTCACCTCTGCCCCAGTGGGCACGGGGAGCAAGATGAAGACGGCTGGAGCCTATTGTTGCCATCCTTCCTTTAAACGCTTTCGTTTCATCCTTTCTCCTAATCCTGGGTCTAAAAAAGTAATTTGTAAAGCTTCAGAGATGGATGGCTACTTAGGAAAATGGAGTTGGAGTGACCTGTTAGCTCCTGGCTAGTTGGAAGTAAAACAGCTCAGCTTTCTTTCGTACAGCCAGGTTGCAAGAGACACTAATAAATATTCTGTTAACTGTTTTTCTGGGGCATAAGCCTTTCAGCTGTTAGATATCTTACCTAAACAGGTAAGTACAATGCTGCTAAACAGTGATTTCAGGTCATGGGTCTTAGTGTGTCACATATGTTGTCTGTATTCCAGAAACTCTGCAGCGATGCTCAGGTGAGAGTTTTTGGGAAATGTTGCCAACTGAAGCCTGGAGGAGACAGCTCTTCTTCCTTGGATAGTTCAATCAATTCATCCTCCTCGTTCTCTGATCCAAAAGAACAATGCCCAAAATACCAGGTGAGTCACTCTTCCTTTTTTTTGCATAACCCGTGTCAAATACTAACGGCAGGTGAGGTACTGAATGTTTTGAAATGCTTGAAATCAGAGGCTGGCGGTGGAGAGCAGTTTTCAGTCAAAATCAGACTTTGGTTCTGACTCAGTAATGCTTAATTCTGTAGCTTTGGGTTTGAACAAGTCTAAAACGGACCAGCTGGTTCTCTCAGGATGTGTCTTGAATGGCAGTGATTTCTCTAGGGCATTTGTTCTGTTTTATGACCCGGGTTATAACACTTGTTTGGTACAATCAGACTTGGCACAAATATCTTATCTGGGTGTAGATGAGGTAGTTTATTTTACTTTATTGCCAAATGCCAGGGAAATAACAGAAATGTGCTATCTGTAGGGATAGCCTGTGTAACAGCTTTATAACAAGGGATTCAGTGCACTTGAGTTACATTTTACATAAGAGATTTTGGCCATGACAGTAGCTAGAGTCATCTGACATGGATATATTTCTGTCATCTCTCCTTCCATGGATCACAAGTGTTTTATATTAAGCCACCCTAAAATAGAACTAAGCCCTTCCACTCTTTGTAATGAAGTAATTGTGTGTTTGAGGGAAGCTGCTATCTCCACAACCTATTCTGAAGTACAGTACTACTGATGTCTTAATCTACTGTAGATATAAATGAAGAACCTTTCGGTGCTGACTTTCCCACTGTCGTGTTAGCTCTTGCTATATTTGGCGAGCTGCGTAGTCTTGTTTTCTCTTTCTCATCATACTCTTTTCCACAGCTTTAGTAAGGTGGCTGAAGATCTGTTTTCCATTCCTCCCTTCCTGGAAGGGCACTTAGCTGCGGTTATGAAAGGAAGACGCATTTCTGTCAGCAGCTTCCTTCCAGCACAAAATAACGTCCTTCGTGCATTGTGTGACCAAGAAAAATGATGGTGCCCACTATCCAGAAATTGTCTCTCCTACTGGGCAGGCTCTGTGCAAACAATGGTCAACATTATTAAAGGAAATTAATTTTAGTGGTTGGCATGACAGTGTATTTTAAAGCTGTGGAAAGTTTTCCCTTTGAAGTCCCATTTCCTCACGCGTATCACTTAGTCAAAATCTTACTGAGTTGAACTGAAATGATGTGTGGCTATGTAACCAGCTCAGAAAACGTATGAGAAACTTCCAGCTTGAGTCTTCTACAGCGTATTTGTTGTAAATTATCTATTGCAGTCCCTGTACTCCTTCCAGGCTTCCCCAACAAGTAAGCAGAGAGCCATAAATACAAGAGTTCTTTACTGCACAATAAAATTGTGTATCATGTATGGAGAAGGGCCAAAGTTTGTCCAGACATCAGTCAGCCTGGCATTTCCTATCTTCTAACTGCTGTGCCTGGTAACCTCAGAAGTTACTTAATGTATTTGCAGTATTTATAAGTTCTTTTGTTTGTTTTTTTTAAAGCTATAAAATGGAAGTCCAAATAATACAATGCTATAGGACTTTTAAAGTAGTTCTTTATGTTTCCTTGTTTAAATACACTTTGAGTATATATGAGCAGCTTCAATTGCAAGGTGAAATACAGGGGTTTGTTCCAGGCTTCCATATTTTTAATTATGTCCTATCCAGATCCATCACAAATGTGATTAGAATCCATTAAGATGAAGCTGAATATGGTTTTAAGCTTGCCTACAATTATTTGCACATTATGGCACTAGTGTTACCTCTGTACCTGCTTGTCAGGGTAGTCAGGAATGAAAGTCTTTCTGATTTGTTGATCATGACATTTGACATTTATTTCTGTACTGCATTTTTAATTTACATATGTACTTAGTTATTGATACGACAATAGGTACAGTAAGTGGAATATTAAGTGCTGTAAATATATTCAGAAATGTAATTTCCAAATCATGCAAATTTTACTACCTCTAATATGCTAATGTGCAATAACAAACACTTGTGGGTATTTTACGATCAATTTGTATGTAAGCTCATAAATATGACCTAGGAAATTGGTTTGTGTCCAAGCTGTCAGTGCCGGAGGTTATGCCCCTTTTGCCAGATGCTCCTTGGCTATTTTTTGTTTGAGTTTTTAATATTTAACCCCTTTCCTCAGTTGATTGCACTCTACTTTGGTCTTGAGTGACCTTTATTTTGCGGCATTAAAGGCCCAAATTGTTGAGCTGTAACAGTGTTTCCATATTAAATGCATTAAATATGTGCATCTTCTGTTATGCATGGTAAAAGTATTAAGTGTAGATGAAATGCCAGACTGAAACAGCCATGGGTGCATCTTATCAAACTCTTTGCCTTCAGCATTGCTTGTCTCTGTCTTTCAGAGGAAAGGGAAATCCCTATAATTAAATTTGAAAGCAGCTGATTTTCACTTGCTTTTTTAATTCGGTTGCTTGACAAAGAAAATCAATACTTTATCTTAAAGTATTTTTCCTCAGCTTTAGAATTAGGTTTTCACAACAGCAGAAAGTTGAAACCAAAACCAACCATCAAGGGCTTGACATTTATTCAGAACGAGTCCTTCAACTGGAGATCTGCAACAGATTTAAAAATAACAATCATAACATTTGGCTGTAGTAATTTGCAGTGTTCTTACTACAAGATTTCATGATGCTGGCAAGACCTATCATTTCCTAGAGCCATTAACATGTATGCTTATATTTCCTTAGAGCTGCTGGGTCATACTGGCTGACTGATTTTAAAGTCTAGTTTTTCCAGTACTGCCTACAGTGCACCTCGGCAGTATGATATCCTGGGAGGTGAAGACAGAAATTTCTCTGAGACCCAGCTAATGAGCAGATTTTGCCCCGTCATATGAACACTAACAAACCTTGCAATTGTATCCTCATTTTTGTAACTGTGGTTGCTACCTTTAGTCATCCCCTATCTTTCTTGCACTGATAGCAGATTTCAGAGGTTAATAGTATGTCTGTTAAAGTACCATCATCTTAATTGAGAGTGCTTGAGAAGAGCTAAAAATTGAAAAGTGTTATAAGTGTGTTGCCTTTTGGCTGATTAGCATTTCCTTGTCCTGCCCTTGTTCTGCGGGCTAGCGTGAGCAGAAACATTGAGTGGTCATTTTCCTATCACTCCTTACTGCTGGTAGGAATCTGTGGTGTGGACACCCTGTCCTTGGTTGTGCTCTGAGCTCACTCTCTGACGCTGGGCAAAATATTTAGATATATTCCAAGCCTGTGTAGGAATCTGGGTGAGGTTCCTGGTTGTTCAGAGCTTGGATAAGGGATACAGAGATATGGCACTTAGCATTTTCCAAACACAAGGTTATTTCTGTGACTGGTTTTAGGGACCATCTGATAGGATTACTCCAAGGAAGTGTTATTAGTTATCATGCACCTCAAAGGAAATGTATTGCTCTCTTGCACAGCACCAAAGTACCTCACTTATGAACTGCCTGAGCTCTGTGAGGGAGTGATCACGATATTTTAAATCATCCAGGGCAAGGCACAAATGGAGAGCCAGCACTAATACTCTGCTAGCCTAGAGATGAAACAGCCCTGGACAAAGGGACAGTAATCTCAGTCATTGAAAGTATACAAATAAGATGACTGTCAGCTGAGCAGTTGTCTCCAGTTGATTGCCCTGAGTAACTTTTTTAATTTTAGGGTTTTGTTTGCAGTATTTGATCTAGCCTGTGATGCGGCATAGTGACAGTCCTTTGTATTTAGCCAGTATGCCTACAGCAAGCTCTCACCAACTGAGAAGCAGGAATTGCATGACTTAAGCCTGGCATCATGATGCTACAGCTCTTTGCTGGTACCATCACAGGAGTGCCAGGGAAAGATGGATCAAATATAAAATACCCCTCCATGATCTAGCCTGTGATGCGGCATAGTGACAGTCCTTCTTTGTATTTAGCCAGTATGCCTACAGCAAGCTCTCACCAACTGAGAAGCAGGAATTGCATGACTTAAGCCTGGCATCATGATGCTACAGCTCTTTGCTGGTACCATCACAGGAGTGCCAGGGAAAGATGGATCAAATATAAAATACCCCTCCATGGAAGTTATGAATCAGTCTTTGTTGAGAAAGCACTGGTCCAACTTGGCTCCAACGCACGGCCTGTATAAGATCTCCAGTGAACTTGTGATTCTTCTTGTCAAGCAGACACAAGGTTTAGGCTTAATGGTTCTTATTCAGTCAAGTGTGTTATCACACTCTTAAAACTTTTTAGTCCCCTAACTCAGTGCAGTTTGAATCTGCTTCCCCTCACCCCCTGTAGGTGGGCTGGGTTTGTTGGATGATTTATTGGTTTAGCTCACAGCCGATGTGAAGATGACTTTCCATGCTAGTATGATCTTCATTGAACTGTTCAACTTAGTGTATTCAACAGTGTTATAGCAAGATATTTTGCATGTTTGTCTTTTAAATGAAGAATATTTTCCTTAGTTGTATGTTGCCTTAATAGAAGTGTGCTTCTAAAATGCTTAAAAACAAATGTTGGTCGTTTTTTTTCAGGGTTCTCGGTGCTCCTCAGATGCTAACATGCTTGGAGAGATGATGTTTGGCTCTGTGGCCATGAGCTACAAGGGCTCCACACTGAAAATCCACCAGATCCGGTAAGATTAATTTTTTACTGCTGGTCTTTTCAGGAGACTTACTCCTTAGTGCTAATACATAAAGAATTGAATGCCACAAGTGCAGAGTAAAATGGATTTCTGGTTTTGCTTTAAAGTTATTCTGATGTCACTTTTGACAGAAAACGCTGTTATGTCATCTTTAGGTCTATAAAATCTGGAGGGTTGTGAAATGGAAAGCAAAGCCAAGCCTGTCTTGGCACTGTGTTTCTGACTGACATCTTCCTTTTTGTCCTCTAGCTCACCTCCTCAGCTCATGCTCAGCAAGGTTTTCACAGCTCGCACTGGAAGCAGCATCTACGGAAGTCTGAATACGTGAGTCCATTACAAATTGTATCTATTGCACATAAGCAGATGAATGTAAGAACACAGAAGGCTTCTTTTTTTTTATACCGTCCAGATTCTTTCTCTAGAAAAATAACGTCTTGTTCCCTGATCTGTTACATCCTGTCACTAGTGTCCTCACCTTTCCCTTCTGGTTATCTTCACCTCAGTTTGCTTTAAGCGAATGAATGAACCATTCCTTTAATGCTGATATGGTGAAGCTTGATATTGTAAGGTACAAAAGTACCTGCAACCACCAAAGGAGAAGGGATGAGGACAGAACACTGGAGCTGGGGAATTCAGTCCGAGATGAAGAAAAAGGTGTTACAAAAACATCTGGCTTCAGAGGGTTCAATGTTTAGTTTTCTGTGTATTAATTGACCCACCTGAGGACGTGGCTTAGGCCATGAAAGCTTTTTCTAGTGGAAGCCTGCGTTCTTATCTTGTCTGTTCTGTTTGAGCTATAAGGAAGTAACGCTATGTTCTACTCAATGCAAATCACTGTTTCTGTTGTATGTTTTATGTTCGTTATAGGTTGCAGGACAGTCTTGAGTTCATTAATCAAGATAGCAATACATTAAAGCCTGACCACAGTACAATTATGAATGGACTTCTTGGGAATATAGGTAATTACAAACAGATTTTATTTCCTGGTATCTTTACCTGAGTAATCATAGATTCTAGAATATGAAAGTCTTCTAAATAGAATCAAATTTAAAAAAAAAAAAAAAGCTAAAGACGTAACAGAAAATTAATGTTGTTCGTGGGGCTTGGTGGAGAATAAATCAGACAGTTCAAGGAATTAGCAGTGGTTCAATATATACAGCTGTATATGAGTATATAGAAATAGACATAATAGAAATACTTAGATATACTTAAGTTCAAATACAGAAAATGTTGGAAAATAACAGTCTATAGAACTTTCTAAGCAGCATATCTCAGATCAGGCAGGATTAATTGCCTTAGTTCCCCAGTTTTATTTTAATTAATAATTTTCATTCTGTTCTGTACTGTGGCCACCTGAATGCATGTGGCCACATGTTTCATACTAGTCCAAGCTAACCTTGCACAGTTGTGCTGGAGTTTTTGATCAGATTAGACAGAATATCATTTTGTTCTCCTCTTTCTATCTCTCTCTGACCATGGAAGCTAAGCGGTGTTGAAAAACCATCTGGCATCTTTGGTTCTCAGCCTTCATGGAAGTGCTGTGGGTGAAGGTTCCCTGGACATGAGATTACAGAAAGAGGGGAAGGCCTTGGCTTTTCCTTGTGGGACCGCTAGAGCTGATAGTAAAGTCACTGTACTTTAGGGCTTGGTTGTCCAGTATAGCAGCCTGCTGGCTCTTCAGCGCATCCTCCCTTTCCCTTGGTTTAGATTGTTGACATTCCAAGCAAATGTCCGTTGCAGTAGGTGGAATAAGGGGCTTCTTTTTATGTTTGCTTTCCAGAATATTGCTGTATGTAAAATACACTTTTCTGGGGTTGGGAGTAAGGAGTGAATTTGATGACTTTGTTACTGCAACTGGGTTTCTGGCTTTGACATGGTCCTAATTCTTGTTGGGTGTGTTTACTTCTCTCCTTCACACTGACTTTGATAAGACTGCACCTAAGCATGGGCTGAAATGCTTTTCAGGCTCAAAAGCTGTATACCTCATTAAAATAATTCCTAATAGTCCATTTATAAGGGAAGCCAACTAAAGCTGTAAGAACCTATTATCTATTAAATGCTTCTTGAATTTCCTAAGTCAGGAAAATTAAAAAGATGCATTTTTCTTCACATTCAGTATTCCTTTCAGAATTCAATTGTGACTTTTCACAGTGCATGCGTGAATGAGGTGCCTGATCTAAGAGAGAGGAACTCACTTCATCTGCTTTTAGGGTTTTTGTTGTGAGAGGAACTCACTTCATCTGCTTTTAGGGTTTTGTTGTGGTTTGTGCTTGGCAAAGGTTTGCTGTATCATCAGTGTGATCTAAACTGCAAGTTCAAATTCAGATAATGCAACTATTAGGCATGGACTCAGTATGATTTAGGTATAGCCAGTGCCATGCTTTCATCTGGGTCCGGCGCCGTGGTGAGGGTGACTCTTCCCCACCTAGCAGAAAGGATAACTGGCCCGAGAGCTGGCCTGGAGGTGCAGCCCCTCGGTGCAAGGGCGTGCGACAAGAAGTGGCGAGGTTGCCTTCTCGAAGAGGATGCTGAAACTTTCTTTGTAATTGAGCTGCACAAGTTTTCAGTGCGTGTGACAGTGTTTGCTTACAGTTCCCGTTTCAGCGCAGAGGGAAGCATGGGTCAAGTAGGTAAAGAAAAGTTAATCGGTAACTGTAGCATTTCTAACAACTGTGTTCAATAGCAAAGACTGCTCCTGACTCACTGGCTCTCGCCAGCCTGTGATAGGAGAAGGGTCTATGTGTTTTGGTTGGGAACTATTTACAAGCTGCTTTTTTTAGATACGCTGGTTAAAAAAAAAAAAAGAATCAACACTGGTCATGTCCTTTCCTTTAATGAGTAAAGACCTCAGTGAATGGAAGGGACCTTTGCTGAGGTGCAGCCTTAATGTTTTGTATAATCAGAAGACTTTGAGTGAGCAGTAGCTTTAAATTTAGGAGAAGAACTGGCAATTAACTCATTAAAAATACCCACGCATTTTTCCTGGCTCTGTGTACAGTAAATACACTATTTCCCTGGTATATCTGCAATCCAGTATTACTTTTAAAATGGACTACTGAGACTGCTAACATTCATTTTCTGTATGATCATTTCACTAAACTGATGTACTGACTGTTCTCAGAACAACTATTTCAGCCTATAATTTTTTGTTGGTTCTACTAAGATGAATTTCTGCCTGCCTTCTCCCCCTTCCTCCCATCGTCTGCAGCAACAGTGTTCCTCGGCCACCCCACCAGTGTGGATGTTAAAACAAACATTGTACTCCATGATGAATCTCCTGTTTGTGATCAAGTTAGGCTTTGAGCCTGCATAAATTAATAATTTTTCAACTTAAAAAAAAAAAAAAAAAAGCGCCCTCAGAGAGAAGCCCCATCCTTGTATGGGAGACAGTGTAAAGCTGGGTCTATTATTTTAATTCTATAAATACTACATAATTCAACTGTAAGCCGTATCCTTGAATCAACGTTCTTGTTAAGCCTAAGAGCCGTTCTCCTGCACACTGTTAGTCTGCATTTATGTTGGCTTATATCTTCTCCCTGCCCTGGCCCCCTCCCTACAGACTGTTCTGCTTTACTAACCTCATTCTTTCATGTGTATTTTACGTTTTGCCATGTAGGTCTTTCACAGCTTTGCAGCCCTAGGCGGGCATTCTCAGAGCAAGGTCCGCTCCGCCTGATCCGGAGCGCCTCTTTCTTTGCAGGTTTGCAGTGTGCTGTGTGCTGTGCTGTGTGGCTAGTCTAGCTGGTGTGACAAAACGCTGTGGATTTGTAGTTTAGCCCTGGAAATAAGATTATTTTTTTTTTTAAATACAAAATGGACAGTGATGTCCGCTCTCTTACCTTTTTGGATACACACTTTAGACCCCCAGAGGACAGCACTGGGGTTGGTTGTGTTGTTTTGTTTTGGAAACTTGTATATTTAACGGTGGATTTCATATTTCTGGAAATAATATTTTACAATAGTGTCAAGCTATTTTGATCTGGACGTGTTTCAACCAAACTGTAAAAACTAAAGCTAACCTAGGTTCATTTAAAATGGACATTTCTTGCTTTTAGTGGCTGGGTCTTATTTCCATGGCTAAGTAGCTTTTATTTCACACACATATTTGTAAAATATATCACACTTAAAGACTGTTGAGGCTGAGACACTTTTGATCTTGTGTATATGCAGACTGTGAATCTGGACAGCTTATGGCTTAGTTGAACAATCAATGCACTGCTCACAATTTAAAAGTATTTATTTTCTTCAAGGGAGCATTGTAAAATCCTTTTAAAATTACATACAATACCTGAGAAAGCTGATATATGAATGAAGTCCATGTTTATATTGGTGGGTTTTTTGTCTATACACTGAGTACTACCAGTGTACCAACATCCTTTTGGTACATTAAAATTTCATTGAAAAATATCCGTATAAAGAAACAAAATGTACTAGTTTTAGTTTGTACTAAAATAGGTGTATGGACTTCAGAAAAATACATGCAAGCTTTTCAGATAAGTGTTTTGGCTTGTTCAGCTAAGCAGCCTTTCTTGGTGATGGCCTTGTGCAGTGCTCTTGATCTGAATTAATGAGCATGTTTTTGTTTCATTAATTACATGGAGATCTGCAAACAAGAAAGGAACTGTATATTCCCCTGCTAATTGGTATTCCTTGTTTTACAGTTCATAGCAACCCTATGGATATGCCTGGGAGGGAGCAGAATGAGGACAGAGACAGCGGTATAGCAAGATCTGGTAATGTCAGTGCCATGCGTTAACCCTGTAGACTCCAAAAATATTCAGTAATGTTCCTCACCAAGATGTCTAGACATCATCAAATAGTTTTTGCTGTGCTGAAACGTGATTGTTCTGTTTTGTTATATATAAGCATTAATGCCTACCTATATGTATACGTACAAATGTTGTAGGCGTCGAGGATATTGCATTAGGAACCTCACAGAGGTAATCTGAACAGCAGTGCACTTTACTAAAGCATGCTGCAAATAAGCAAGCCAAATTAAATATTGAAATGAGTTTTCAGCATTTCTAAATGATACTTGTCTTCTCGTTTCCAAATAGAGGAGGATGGTAATGTTAAAACATGAATTCGCCTCCACAACACCCTTCTCCTCCCCCCCCAAATTCAGGATATTGGGCACTTAAGGTTAGGATTGGAAAGGCTGTTAAAGGATGCGATTAACATTGCTCCTTTCCACAAAGAATTTATTTCCCGATACTCAGGGTTGGTGAGGAAGGTCCACCCTGTATGTTGCCTATTAAGTAAAGCTGCAGGACTGTCCCATCCTTGTAGTGCTTGTATATCTTGTTAATGTTGTTATAAATTGGTTATTTTTAGATAAGAAACATAGATAAGCAAAAGAGAAGGCACTGGAGAAGCAACAGCAATTTATCTTGAGGAGCTTCATTTAGTTGCTGGTATTATTTTCCATATGCTCTTTCTTCTGTAGAGATTTTTATTTATTCCTCTTATTATTGCAGCATCTCTTAGCAGTCTGCTCATCACTCCGTTTCCATCTCCGGGCTCTTCGTTTAACAAAAGCTGTGCTAGCAGTTACCAGCGGCGTTGGCGTCGCAGTCAGACTACCAGCTTGGAGAATGGGGTCTTCCCTCGATGGTGAGCTGGGAATGAAAATGCTGGTTGCTGCCCATACATTTTCCACCATTGTCAGCTTGATTCTGCTCTTGCATATGTACATCTGCTCTTGCTGTTGCTTTCTGTGGGGTATTTACAGAGGTGTAAGTCAGGCTGCACTTCAACGCCTGATCTTTTTTAGTATCTGTTTTCTTCGTGGCATTCATTGTTTTGCACTAACTAGAAAGCCTTCAGCAAAACGTAAACCTGTAGGCTGTACTTTTGAGGATAAGAAGCCCTAAAATCCTACTCAAAACACAAATTCTTGGCAGAGATGGGAGAGAACTAGAATACCACATTCTGATCGCACAAACACTTTGAATCTGGTTCCAGCTTTTGTGATTGCAGGATCAATTAATGGTTGCTTGTAAAAAATTGCGAAGTGGATGTTACCAAAGGTGATGATTTGACAACACATGTAAACAGAAGATGTTTACTGAAGTTAAATGTTCAAGAATTGAATTACACAGGAAGCCAAGGTACAACTTTAAGCAGTGGATTACATTAACTTTCTATTTTTTCCATGCTTCAAGGTCCATGGATGAAAGCTTTAACTTGTCAGATGACAGCTCGGGTCCTAGCCCAGGAATTGTTAGGAAGAAAAAGATAGCAATTGGAGTTATTTTTTCACTCTCAAGAGATGAAGATGAAAACAACAAATTTAATGAGTTCTTCTTCTCACACTTTCCTCTTTTTGAGAGTCACATGAACAAACTGAAGAGTGCAATAGAACAGGTAAACACAGCCTCTTTTGATTCTTGCACTTGTATTGCTGTATATTCCCCCCAGCCCTGTCAGATTTAATTCCAAACTCTTGTTACTAGTTTACAAAAGTGGGATCAACTTGCTGTTGGGTATTGGAATTGCACCAGAGAAGAGCTTTGCTCCACAACATCTTTGATGATGTTTCTTATTGCTAGCAAAAGCACAACACAGGGTGAGGACAGAGCATGCTGCATTATGCTACAGGGATGGCTGAAAGCTACAACAGTTACTAGGCTGTGCAAGCTCCCAGTAAACCCTGGATCAGCCAAGGGGGAAAGGTGCTCTTACAGCCACCTCTACCTCCCCGCTTCAGCTCTATCTGAATCTAGTGGGTTGCAGGGTCAGAACCTATCTCTAGGTTATCCCAGGTTGTAAAAATATCAAGCTTTTTTCTTTCTCTTTTTTTTAACCCCCTGACTCTGATGTGTAGGAAATTTTCAAAGATCTAAGTTTCAAATGTGCGGTTCGATTTGCTTCAAACCTCTCTTCTAGGAAATACTTAGTGGTTACTTTGCCACTGCAATGAAAACTTTGACCCCTTTTATGCGTTGAATGATGAAAAGCACAGAAGAAGCAGAGGCTGCAAATGCATGTGCCTCACCTATCTTTCCTCAGATATGAAAGCTGGCACTTGTACCATCATTTTATCACTTAAAAAAAATTTATTTGCATGACTAGTTGCATGAAAGATAAAGTCAAACACATGACTTTGTTTTCCATTTTCTGTGCTTCTGTGGCTATGTGTTACTTATCTGTTTAATGATTGTTTTCAAGGCTATGAAAATGAGTCGTAGATCAGCTGATGCCAGTCAGCGGAGTTTGGCATATAACAGAATTGTTGATGCCCTGAATGAATTCAGGTGAGCAGTTTGTCTCCTATCTGTTGTGTCTGTTTCTTCAAAAGCACTCAAGTCTGTTTTAGAAGGATCTTCTCTTTAGTGCAGGATAAGTAACTTATAACGTCTCAAGTCTTCTGCTTACAATAAAGGTATTGGTGATAGCAAGCTATTATAATCTGTGTGTGTTTTTAGATTTTGCCAAGTGTGTATATCCATCAGGGCTCAGTGTGAACAGGACATAGATGATCAAGGTTTTCTGTGCTTTTAGTAGTAATGAAGCTCCTGGCAACCTCTTAAATTATCTTTTATGGCCCGTTGAGAGGGGGAAAAGAATTGCAAAGCCATGTTAGGAAAATCTTCCTCTAATGTATATTTTCCTGATGTGTGAGCAAACCAAGACCTTTACCCTGCTCTAAATTCTGCTCTAAAGGCGTTGCAGATAACCAGCTACTAAGAAGGAGGACTATCTTTTTCACATAGTAAAATGCATTACTGTAATCTCTTGCTAGCAGTACCTGCAGAGCATCTCTATTCAACAGTTAATATACAAAGTAATGCAGATAAGTACATCCCTGGCATTTAAGTGTATTTTCTTTCCATAGTTTAAGTCATGGGGAGGGAATTAAGATGAAATCCGTCTGTTTCAAGTGATTCATCTCCTCTCAGATGGGAGTGGCAGGGTGCCTCCTTTTACAACCAGTGTAGAGCTACTTTTCAAAGACATTATAGAAGACAGCGCTCTGATGTTGTAAAAAGAAAATCCTGACATCAGGATGTATTTCACTGAACAGCGAAGGATCGTGAGGGCTCACTCATTTTTCTACAATTCAACTTACTATGTGAATGCCATGGATTAGGTCAAGTTGCAGTATGAACGCACAGATATTTTTTTTTTTTTTTTTTAATTTTTTAGAACCTCGCCTCTGCGCGCTTGCAAAGGAGGGCAGAGGATATGTTCAGTAGGGACAGGGAAGAGTGAGCACGTGGGCCTGCGGTGAGAGGTGGATGGGATAAGCAGTGCCAAGAGAAGGAGCAGACGGAGCTCGTGACTGCTGGGAGCCGCCGATCCTGCCCAGGGGCCCGAGACAAGTTCAGCAACTCCGAGCAGCCACGGTGGTTCCTCCACTCCCCCCAGCTCTGCTCTGCCTCTCCTCCCCGCTCTCACCCAGAGCCGTGGCTCTGCATTCCCGCCCCCCGATAACACCACCTCCCCAGCTGTTTTCCCAAAACTTCCCCCAAAACATTCCCCCCTCAAGATACATTCGGTGGACTTTGCCCATTCTCCTTTGTCCTTCCAAGTTAAACAGTTCCAGAGAGGTGGGGAGGGGCACGTATCCCGAGTCAAACGTAGGAAAAATAACCCTGAAAACACAAGGCCAAATCCTCCTTGCTAGCTTTTTTCCTCCTTGGAGGGAAGCTCGGCGGCGCTGAGCTGGGATGGGACGAGGAAGGCTGCTCTTGTCGGGCTGAGGAGGAAAATAATGTCCCACCGGACAGCAGAGGATTGGCACTCTCGTGAGCCGCTGCAAGACGCGATCATTCACATGACACAGCCCTTGCATAACCAGCACTGGAAGCATGTGTCTAACTACCAGTTTTATGCAAAGGTTTCCATGGTGATATAAATATTACTCTTTAATAGTGTAACGAGGTAAATTAAATCCAGTTTAATTTCATATAAATGAATTTCCTGGGGCAGCAGACTTTGGCAATTCTCGGGTTTTTTTGGTTTTGTTTTTTGTTTTTTTTTTTTAAGTGAGTGCATTCAGAGGTACGCACCAGCCGGTGCCCCCAGCCTGGGCCGGTCCTGCAGGCGGGCAAGGTCCTCGTGCCTCCGCGGTATCTCGGGGTGGCAGTGTGTGCTGCCATGGGGAAAAGCATTTCTGTAACATGCAAGAACCACTTGCTTTTCAAAGCAATGCAATATGTGTCTGGTAAGAAAAAAACAAGGCATATTTAAATACTGAAGGCTGGATGCAAAGATGCTTTGGCACAGGTTCAGCAAACCCATTTAGGCCGCTATTATCTCTTTAGGCGTCTGCTTTCCCACTGAAGTCACGGGGAAGTCAGAAGCCCAAGTCCTTTGGTGAACCTGAGACTTGTGTTGATTCCTGCCCTCTTAGCAAATTGTGCTGGAGGGAAGAAGGGTGCTGACTTCAGTGGGTTGGTGTTTCTAAAACGTAATCCCGTGCTGGTTTAACTCATTGCAGTCTTTTTTTTTTTTTTTTTTAGAAAAATTTTTTTTAAAAAACCCAAAAAAAAAATCACATCACAGGGGCGTGGGGGACCGGCTACACACTGCTGTGCTGATCAGAGAAGGGAGGAGGGAGCATGATGGTTGTTACCCCAGCCTCCTTCCACCCAGAAGTCCCCCTCTGCAGGGAGGGTGCCGTGGTTGTAGGTCAGCCCGCTAACCTGCAAGCGGGGTTGTTCTAAGGAGCTGGCTGCAGGGCCAGTCAGGCATTTACAGGCATTTACCTGCTAGTACTGGAGGACAGAAGGAGAGGAAAAAAGATAGCAAAACAGACCCCTTTGCTCTTGTTGTTTCATCCAGCGAAAAACAGAGCTGCTTTCTCGGAAAGGCCTAGGTTGCTTCTGCAAATTGATGCTAATGATAAATTTGCCATCAGTTTGGTGCCCAGCTCCAGGCCTACCCTTGCATCATTATTCACTTTACAGCAATTTTTAACTTTCTAAAGCACTGATGGATTTAGCTCTTAACACTTGACTTAGAGGCTTAAAACTCTCTTCAGATGTCAGCTATGCAGACACATGACTTAGGAAATAAGCTACTGTACTTGCATAAACATTTCAACTCCCCTGGTCCCTGAGGTCAATGCAGCACATTGATAATACAGATTATGCATCTGACTAATACCTGTGTGGCAAATACGCAGACTGGCAAGGAAACACTGAACACAAGGCCTAGGGAAACACCTCTCTCTACTTTCTGGCAGCCAAATTTGATCCTATTTAATGCCAGTAATTTTTAAGCAGCTTATGCTGCTGTGAACTGAGTGGTGCATTTTGCTCAGCAGTGCAGGCTGGCCCCGTGCACGGGCATGGGAGTCGCATGGGCTCCCTGCACGGGGGAGCCACACTCCTGCACTCATTGCAGCTATTATTGCCTTTGTTTTCTTTTTACTTTCTAAGGAAAAATCATCTTTGGAAGGAAGGAATGAGGAGAGGGAGCAAATGCATGTGAACTGAGTTTTCTAAACCACTGATGTGTTTTCTTTTTTGAAACAATCCCTAAAGAGACGCTAAGCTTTGCCATTACATTGCAACTCTTAAATAGCAGAGCAGCTCTCAGCACGGCGCTGAGGGTCAGAAGTGTTTCCCTTAGGGAGGAAGGGGGCTGCAGAGGGATGCTCTCATCCACGAGGAGCCATCTGGCTCGTTTGGTTTGTACAGCACCAGGGGGAAGATGTCTCGGACTGGTACTAAAACGCAGGACAAAGGCCGGGGAGGTCTGCGGGTGCGTTTGGGTGAGGGTGAAGAAGGAAGCGGAGAGCAGCACAACACCTGACCCGCGGCCGGGCTGTGCCGTGCGGAGGGCGGCTGCCGCAGCCCCACAAGTGCTGCCGTGTGTGCAAGCAGCAGGACTGCTCGCCTCGGTGCCATCTGTGCCTGCAGAGCAGACAAACCCCAAAGGGTTTGCAGGAGGGGTTTTGCTCAGATCTTCATTTTCATTTGGCTGGGCTGTGCTTTGTTTGGTTTCAAGCCGCTGTTAGATGCGAAGGTGTTTCCTGAGGAGCTGCCCCAGCCCCTGCGCCTGCTGCACCCATTGCTGGTGCTGAGGTGCCCATAAGCTCCAGGCTGGAGTTCAGTATCCCAGAAGAATTTCCAAATAATAAACCATTTTAAATGTACTCGAGCCCTCAAAAGAACAGAGTCTCTCATTAACTGAACTTTCCCTTGCATGCCGCTGTGCGATGCTGTTGTGCGTGGGGGATGGCGAGCGGAGGGGAGGGGGCTGCTTGCTGCAGATGGCCAAGAGGGGTGAATTTGATTTTTAATGCTTGTTATGTTTTAAATCCGGTTAACTTCCCTATAGGGTTTTGGAGGGGGGGGTTTGTTGTGGATTTTGTTTTTTGTTTTTGTTCTTTAATAAATGGAAGGAGAGCCTTTCCCTCTGTGTTTGCAGAACTGGAAAGCAGTTAATCCTTGCCCTTGCTTTCTGTGCCATTGCTGCCTGCGCTGGCATGGAGGGTTCCCTGCACTGCAGTCACATGCCTGCTGGCCGCCGGCCAGGGCAATCTGATCTCTCTCTGAGGAAACACTATCAGTTGCAGATGCAGCCAGGGTTACCAGAATAGTAAATAACGAATCACAAGACTCGGTCTATCTTTTCAACGAAAACAAATATTTTAATATGTTGGGTTTAGTATAGAAGTAGTTTCTTTTTTCAAAACAGCCAAGCTGCTAGAGGCTTGGCTTGAGTTAGTTTGCATATGAAGGAGAAATAAGCTGTATTTTACATTAAGTTGTGCAATTTATCATCAGCTTCTAAGGTCAGCTGTGTTTGGGGGGTGCAAGTTTCAGTACTTGTTTTGAACTTTGAAATTCATCGACCTTTGAAGTCCCGGGACTTGGGGTTTCTCCCTTTCTTTGGGCCTCTTTAACATCCGCTCCAATTAATGGGCTGTGAACAGAAAGCTTTCCCTTAATAATCCCACCTCTAGTCCCAACTTGCTACTGCCGAGGCATGAAATCCTGGTGCCCCAAGAGCGCTCCGCTGCTGGAGACCCTCCGGTTCCCCCCGCGGTGCAGCCGTGCTGGTGTCCCCCGACTGTGTGCCCCTCTCCTGTCTACCCCGGGAGGACTGTTGTGCCCAGGCCTGTAATCAGTCTGTGCTTTCCTCCCAAGAGACGACCAGCAGCAGAGGGTTAACGTAGAGCGGCTCCGAGGCTGCTCTAAACTGAGCCAGCGAACAGCCAGCCCTCTGAGGGCCGGTGGGTCTGGTAACTTGACTGTTCCCCTCTCCAGCCCACTGACTGTTTTCTGGCTTTCCCATCGTGCCTGTGGCAGTGGAGCGTCTGAAAATCTAACCTTTGAGGAAGACGGGGTTGATTTTGACTATTGTGAACACACAGGATGGACTTTGTATTTAATGAAAACTGGTAGAAAAAATAAGGCAAAAAACCCGCCACTGCCCCCTCGCCCCCTTTCTTCCCGAGCAGTCCCAGTGACTTCGGCACAGTGCACAGTCCCCCCTGCTGCCCTTTGGGGAGCTGCTCTGGGGGTCTTGTCACCACTGCTTTCTTCTCTGCTTAGTAACCGGGGCGTAACTCCTTCCTCCCCCGAGCGCCCCTCGTACCAGCGCCGTTGCGTGCTGCTCCGCTGCTGACGTGCCGGGCTCTCGCTTCCTAGGGAGTTTCACTTTAAACACTAAACCACGGAAGATTTGGCAGCTGCTGCCTGAGTGTGTTTGCCTGCCTGCCGTGCACAGCCATTGCTTTACTTCTGGAAGTGTCTATAAATTTTTAGAACGACGTATCCAAAGATCATCTTCATAAATCAGGGGTGGTACTAGGGATAATGGGATAATGTAAATCTTTTTCTTGTGAAACAAAAAGATCTCTTCTAAAAACAATAGTGCATTAGGTGGGGAGAAACCTGAATTGATCAGTCATTTCCTTTGTTGTTTTGGGTTTTTTTAGGCTTCCATTTTTACTGTGATGAAAATACAGGTTCCCATAGTGTCATAATGTAGGCCTTGTACTTAAAACAAAACTAGAATTTGGTTTAGATTTTAGAAGAGCTTAACAGTAATCTGAGGGGTTTTAATCTGCTGTTTTAGTGCAGAGCCCAAGTTTTAATCATCTATTTACTGTCCTCCGTAGAGTCAAAAAGGATGTGGGTATGTGTGTAATCCTTGAAACTGTGGGGTAACTTTGACTCTCATACGCTTTATTTAAAGCTAAAGAGGTAACCTGGTCCCCTTCTCTACAAATCCACACTTTGGTGGGTTTGGCCTGGAGATACACCAATTTTTGAAAGCAAGGAGGACATTAAGGTATAAGCCAGATACACATAAACTTGCCCTAGTCATAAATTAAGCAGAACTATGGAGGATTTACATGTTGAATGAAATGGAGAAAAGGCAGGGAGATAACAACAAGAAAAAATAATTCATTTCTTCTCCATTCAGAACAGGGCAGCTCTTGACTTTTGACAGTGAATGTTACTGTGCTTGGGATCGGTTCAGGTACATGCATAAAGAACCTTAACTCTCTGAGGTGGAAGGGTGAATTCATACTATTTATTGAACAACCTGGTTTGGAGAATGGTTGATGAGAGAAATTTTGTTTCTGATAGAAATGACAGCTGGAACTAAATGTTGCCGTAAACTCTGAACAGGGATCTCTGCCTTTTGTTGTTTGTATAGTCCTCTGGATTTTTTGTTTTCTAGAACAACTATTTGCAACCTCTACACGATGCCACGGATTGGGGAGCCTGTCTGGCTTACTATGATGTCGGGGACACCAGAAAAGAACCAGCTTTGCCATCGTTTCATGAAGGAATTCACTTTCTTGATGGAAAATGCTTCTAAAAACCAGTACGGTGGATTTCAGTTGTTAAATTACATATGTGTTTATGCCTTTGTATTTCAAACCAATTTTTGAATCTGTTTTTAAAATCTGGGTAATCAAAGAATCAAAAGACCATGCATTAATATCTTCTTTCTACAACAAAAAAGTATCTCATTAAATGCCTGCTTCCCCACAATCCTCTAAATCTTGGTAGAGGCTAAACATTTGAAACATGTCCATAGGAAGCGCGTGATGGGTGTGTATGTCTGGAAGGGGGTGAACATACCTTATGAAATGCATTAATCTACCTTTCAAAATCAGTTATCATATGATGAGCAAGGTTAGACATTCAGTAAGAGCCATGTCTGTAATACTGTCTGACCGCAAATTGCTCTTAAACCTGACTTCTGTAAAATGCCACTAAAGAAATTGTGTGCTTCATTAGTACTCACCTTTCTGCCCTCAGGACAAAGCCGTGAGCGGTTGTTAAAAATTGAGAAAGAGAATGTTCTTGATAAACTCGGGAGAATCTGATAAATTTACTCTTTTGTCAACACTTCATCCTCTTTCCCCAGGGCATGAATAGGGGAAGTTTTTAAAGTGCTTGGCTCCATTTAAGTCCTAAAACGAGCAGAAACATGTGAAGTTTGAGTGGGAATGGCACTGAAAGACCAGCTGTTAGCTCCTGGGAAGCTGCGCTCTGCAGGGTGGGGAAGGGGTGGTTGCAGGGGAAGGGGCTGCTGCTCACCGTCTTCCAGCTTTGCCACCAGGCTTGTCATCTTTTCTCTCCCCCAGATGGGAGGGTGACAATTAGCAGTCAGGGTGATCCACCTTCTCCTGCCGCAGTGCAATGGGAGAAACCGTAGGGAGTTGTGAGGGGTTCAAATGTTTTTTCTTAAAATCAGTTTGTGCTGCAGTAGAAGCTTTTTCCTGGGATTAGCCCCTTTGGTCCCTGCCGTTCTGAGCCCTGTTCATCTTGGTTACATTTAAATGGTCATTTGTTGGGGTTTGTTTGCTTGCTTTATTTTAAATATACTAAGACTTACACTGATGGAAGCAAGAGCAAAATCAAGCCCAATATCCTTTTCAATCCCGATTTAAATCTCCTTTCCTCCTTTGGCTGTCTCCAGTGAGGAAATGGGGCTAAATCTAAGCTGTAGGGTTCCTGATGCTTGTAGACTGTTCAGATAGCATTATTTTGAGGCTCAGCGGCATTGGACTGGTTTGCTCCCTGGGCACCTGATGCACTGCAGCGGCCGCCAGCACCATCTGTCGGCGTGCGGGAGGCTCTTGGGCCGCGCTTCTGCACGCTCCTCCTGCCAGGAAAGGGACTGGGAGGGAAGGTCTTCCCTCCACGGAGCAGAAACCAGGCTCTATTGTTACAGTAAATCACATAGTTAACATTTTTCAGAAAGGTTTTTTGCCTTACTTGCTTAGCTTGTGAAAACCGTTTTGCCAGTGTAAGGACACAGCCTTTCTGGCTGAGCTACAGAACTTTGGGGGTTTTTATTTTTTTAAAGGAGCAGCCATATGTGCTGAAATTGCGTAACAGTTAGATAAAAGACTACAGCACCTAGTTATTTTATAGACTGGGTAGCAATAGCCTTCCTTCTCATCAATAGTCAGAGATCTTAAGGGTCTGGGATCTTCTTCTTGGAGTACAGAGGCCACAGTGCCACTGTTTTCTTACAGCGAACAAAGTAAGTTGGTTTTGAGATGTTTTACAACATAAAGCTTGCAAAATAGGAAGTCTCATAATTATTGCCAAACAGAGGAACTGAGATGCCACAAGTTTAAAATATTTCATTTCACTTTAAATGTGTGTTCTAAAAAAGAGCTTTGCAGGGGTGGGAGGGAGGGTACAGCCCTCTCTTTTCTCCCCAAAGAACCAAGACCAAAGGGACGATATCTGCCAGCTTTGTTAGGTTGTTTCTGCAATTGTTGATCCATATAGACTGTAGAACTGCTGTCGGTTTAACATCCTGAGTGTTGAACATTTTGCTTTCAGGTTTTTACCAGCTTTACTGACTGCAGTCCTGACTAACCACTTGGCCTGGGTCCCTACCGTCATGCCGAACGGCCAGCCGCCTATAAGAATCTTCCTGGAAAAGCATTCTTCCCAGAGCGTGGACATGCTGGCCAAAACTCATCCGTACAACCCACTGTGGGCACAGCTCGGTAGGTGGCAAACATCTCTAAACCATCCAACCACTTTACATCAATGGGTATGCGTGCGGTGGCTTTTATGGATGCTTGTTACTCCCTCCCCCCCCGTTAAATTTTTTTGTTTTTATTCAAAACGAGACAAAAGTGTGTATTTCAAGCTTTGAGGTGGTTGCTGTATTTTTTTTATCTGTGCTGTAATTTCTTAAGGCATTATCAATTATAAAGTGGCAGCCAAAAAGTAAAGTCCTCTTTAGTCATCTGTGGCACGTCTCCTAAGGTCACCTGCCCTGGTGATGATGGAGGATAAGGGAAGAGCAACTGACATCATCTGCCTGGACTTGTGCAGAGCATTTGACACTGTCCTGCACAACATCCTTATCTCTAAATTGAAGAGACATGGATTTGACGGATGGATCACTCAGTAGATAAGGAATTACCTGGATGGTTGCACTCAAAGAGTTGCGGTAAATGGCTCGATGTCCAAGTGGAAACCAGTGACAAGTGGTGTTCCTCAGGGGTCAGTATTGGGACTGGCGCTGTTTAACATCTTTGTTGGCAACATCGACAGCGGGATTGAATGCACCCTCAGCAAGTTTGCTGACAACACCAAGTGGTGTTGTGTGGTGAGGTTGACACGCTGGAGGGAAGGGATGCCATCCAAAGGGACCTTGACAGGCTTGAGAGGTGGGCCCGTGTGAACCTCATGAAGTTCAACAAGGCCAAGTGCAAGGTCCTGCACGTGGGTCGGAGCAATCCCAAACACAAATACAGGCTGGGCGGAGAATGGATTGAGAGCAGCCCTGAGGAGAAGGACTTGGGGGTGTTGGTTGATGGGAAGCTCAACACAACCTGGCAATGTGCACTTGCAGCCCAGAAAGCCAACTGTATCCTGGGCTGCATCAAAAGAAGCGGGACCAGCAGGTCGAGGGAGGGGATTCTCCCCCTCTACTCGTGAGACCCCACCTGGAGCACTGCGTTCAGCTCTGGGGCCCCCAACATAAGAAGGACATGGACCTGTTGGAGTGAGTCCAGAGGAGGGCCACGAAGATGATCAGAGGGCTGGAGCCCCTCTCCTATGGAGAAAGACTGAGAGAGTTGGGGTTGTTCAGCCTGGAGAAGAGAAGGCTCTGGGGAGAAGACCTTATAGCAGCCTTTCAGTACCTGAAGGGGGCCTGCAAGAAAGCTGGAGAGGGACTTTTTGCAAGGGCATGTAGTGACAGGGCAAGGGGTCATGGCTTTAAACTGAAAGAGGGTAGATTTAGATTGGATAATAAGGAAGAAATTCTTCACTGTGAGGGTGGTGAATCACTGGAACAGGTTGCCCAGAGAAGCTGTGGATGCCCCATCCCTGCAAGTGTTCAAGGCCAGGCTGGATGGGGCTTTGAGCAAGCTGGTCTGGTGGAAGGTGTCCCTGCCCATGGCAGGGGGGTTGGAACTGGATGATCTTTAAAGTTCCTTCCAACCCAAACCATTCTATGATTCCTCTAGTCCTCCCTCTATAAGGAAAATCAATTTTTATTTTTTGGGATGCTGCTATCAATAAGCCTGGTTCTGGAAAGAGCAAATCAAGGAAATCCATCTTTTGATAAGAGATGAACATACTCTCAGTACAACAGGCAAAGGAGCGACATAGTCCAGGAAATCATGACTAGGCAACCCCCTGGGTAAGGTCTCAAAGCGTAGTTGATTGAGTAGCTAGTCATCCTGTCTTCTCATTGCTCACTAGGGAAGAGGAGATGAGCTTCCTTTTCTCTGGTCAGATTGTCCTGCTCTGCACACAGACTCTTATGGAATTTGGATAGGGAAGGGAAGGGAAAGGAAAGTTTTGCGAGGTTGCCCTATTCTGGTATAGGCAGGAATGGCTAGGGACTTGGCAAGACGACTTGATTTCAGAGCTCATGGGACTCAAAGGATCCACTGTGGTTAGGTTGGCCTTCGAGGCTTCTTGAATCCCTTGTCCCCCCATCCCTGCATTCATGCAGTGCCCTAATACCTCCAGAACAACACATTCACAGGCACTTCCCCAGGTGAACAGGGAGTGCTGTCAAAACAACCCATAGTAGAGCTCAAGGGGAGGGAAGAGTTCGGCTTCAGCTGTGCACCCACCACTGTCACTTTTTGCCCTCGTTCTTGGCATAGGTTTGTTTCTCCTTACAGCTTTCTCTTGGCGGGTAAAAGTTCAGCCCTGTTTCCAGACTATCCAGGGTAATTCAGAGCAGATGCCTTCTCTCTCCCATGGCTATATAAGGAACCCAGGAGACGAGCCTCCAAAGCTAGGCACTGAAGTTAGGTGGTGCGAATGCTCCCTAATATGTGAGATCAGATGTCTCCCTGACCAGCGTGTCACCTTACATACGATACCAACAGCATCTTTGGGATTCTCTGTATTGAAAACAAAATACTAGCATAGCTGTCCTCACTCTTCTGCTTTAGTATTTTTCTGTTCTAGACCTGGCCTTTGAAAACTGGCCACAACAATTGTCTGTTAGAAGAATAATTTATTTTAAAGATGAAAAATAATCATCTGTTTTCTTTCCTGTTCTAGGTGACCTGTATGGGGCTATTGGATCACCTGTGAGATTAGCGAAAACAGTTGTGGTTGGCAAACGGCATGACCTGGTACAGAGATTGCTTTATTTCCTTACTTACTTCATCAGATGCTCTGAACTTCAAGAGACGCATCTTCTAGAGAATGGGGAAGATGAAGCCATTGTCATGCCTGGAACTGTTATAACTACCACACTGGAGAAAGGAGAAGTAGAAGAATCTGAGTATGTGCTTGTCACAATGCACAAGAACAGGGGCAACTTGCTACCGACGGAGTCTGAAGAAATGAGAACTCCTAACTGTAGCTGTAAATACTGCAAATGTCCAATTTCCCTTGCACAAAACGTCGAAGGTGTTTCACAGCAAGAGAGAGAAGACGTGCAAAACACTCCTAAAGTAGAGCTGGAAACTTCTTCAGATGAGAACAGAACTATTGTTCCTGACGATTGCCAGGAAGATGCTGTTGATGTTAAGCAACCGAGACCCTGCCTGGACACAAAACTAGAGACCGTGGTGTGCACAGGGTCAGCTTCACCAGAAAAACGTGTAGTGACGGAATCTGGTTTGGAGCCAACAGCAGATGTGTGGAGGAACGAAGACTCGCTGGAATCGGGCAACCAGGCGGTCAGTGTAACAAGGTCACCCGGTATTGCTGTGGAAAAGAAGCCGCCGGATAAGCTCTTCTGCAATGAGTTTCCTTGCAGTGCTGCCGAAGCTCAGACAAAGGTGACTTTCCTCATCGGAGATTCTATGTCACCTGATTCAGACATCGAACTCAGAAGTCAGGCAGTAGCAGAACAAATTGCTAGGCATCACAGCCCGCCAGCAACGGAGGAAGGAGTGTCTGCTGATCAGAACTGTGAAGCTAAACAAACTGTTGAGGACCAAAATAGAGACTGTGGGACAGCTGAACCCTTCCCTCAAGTTGCTAGTGAGCATCAGAGCTGGAATCCAAACCCATACAACGCTGAGAGCATGAGTCTGTTTGACGAATATTTTACTGATGACAGTTCAATTGAAACCCGGACTATTGATGATATTCCAGGGCAAGCAGCTACAGACCTTCTTGCTCACAACAGTAGTTTAGAGTTTTCTAAAAAGCTGTGTACAAAAACTAGCAAACCACCTAGTGAGTTTTGTAAATTTATGGACTCTGTTCGACAAGAGACCTACAAAAACTGCTTTAATGAGCAGGACCAAAGAGAGAAAATCTCTATTCATGTCCCCCATGGGGACAGAGAAAATGTAGAGAAAAAAGTCGCCCCAGGAATTGATTGGGACATTCCAAGAAATGAGAGTTCAGATAGTGCCTTGGGTGACAGTGAAAGTGAGGATACAGGTCATGATCTAACTAGACCAAGCAGTAACTATTACGGAGGAGAGCAAGAAGATTGGGCAGAAGAATATGAGATTCCCTTCCCTGGGTAAGTACTATTTAGCAGTAATAGAGCCTAAAAAAGATAGAGCCTCTTCTCATGTCACATGTTTGGAGGAATGCAGCCTAACTTGGCATCAGTGGTTGGAAAAGTGTCTCTTGAGCTTGCTGGTTGTAAAAGAATATAGAGAGATCAGTGGTCTGGAAAAAAATATTAATTGTGCATTGCGATCTTGGCTTGTATCCTTTTCTTCCACAATGGGCTGACTGCAAAAGCTGACTGTAAACTCTTTCTTTTTAAAAAGTTCTTGAATGGAAGTTAGAAGAGAGATGATAAATGTGAAAATGCAGCTGTGAGCTGAATTTGCTGTTTACTATTGTACATCTCTTTGATATGCCTTTCTTGCAGGTCAAAATTAGTTGAAGTGAACTCTGTCCAGCCCAGTATTGCCAATTTTGGAAGATCCTTACTAGGTGGCTACTGTTCGTCTTATGTCCCTGACTTTGTTTTGCAAGGAATAGGAAGCGATGAAAAGCTGAGGCACTGTTTGGTGTCAGATTTGTCGCATGCTGTGCAGGTAATTAAGCTATATTTGGTAAATGTATTTGTCACAGTAGGGA